ATTTCTCTCCAAAACTCATTTATTAACATTATGCACATGCAAAACTTCGATGGAAAAAAAATGAATAAAATGAACCCTACCTAGATGTAAGGAGGCGTATTGAAGACAATACTTAAATGATATACAACTGGTTTCTAATATTATAAGCTTTTTGCTCATGTGGTTCAACGTTTTTATTTACTGCAACATAAAGTGTTTGCCAAAATTCGTGCAAATAGAACCCTAATTGAATCAGCTGTATTTTTGCTGAGAACTTCCTTTTGGACTAGATTTTTTTGTGCAGAGTTTAGATAGGTAGGTGGGGTTACAGATTGAAGTTGTCAAGCTCTCAAAATTTTACTGTTTGGGGCTTTCGTGTTGTACGAACTACACAGGATGATGTTTGTCAAGAGCATTTGTGCTCTAAAGTAATGCAGACACACATGCAGGAAAAAAAATAAAAAATAAATAAATTGCACATTTGCACCAGATTGGTAACTGGAATTGTACGACAAGTCAAGTCAGTTTCTTTCATTGTCAGTCCCAATTGTGCATGAAAGGCATTAGTACCGCTGAAGTCTTTAGATCCTTTCCAGTTTTGTTCTCTTGTCTTTCCTTTTCAGTGAATACCTAAGAATTGATGTTGCTGAACTCTTCTCTACGTTGTTAATGCTTTAGAAGTGATTTAGAATAGATTTATAGTTGGTTTGTGTCTGTATTAATGCAGGAGAAGATGCGAAATTGCTGAAACTCTTGTTGAGAAGATTTTTGATTTGGCCTTCCAATTAATATATGAATTTAATCTTCCAGGTAGTGTCATTAAATCATGTAAAATGTCAATCCCTTTGTTCCCAGCAGGACTTAAAGTTTACCTTTCATTCTTCCTGATATTATTGCAGCTGTTGACATATATGCTGGTGTTGCATCATCACTTGCTGAAAGAAAGAAGGGAGGTCAATTGACTGAGTTTTTCAGAAACATTAAGGGCACAATAGACGATGGTGATTGGGATCAGGTTTTGTTGTTATAATGTTTCTTCCTATTTGTTACAATAGATGATGATTAAGTGTGATCAGGTTTTTTGTTGTTATAATGCTTCTTACTGATCCATTTTTTAAATTTTTTATTTTGGACTCTATGAAAAATAAATATTAGAATTGTTGCAGATGATATAAAATATGCGTTTTGTCTGGGTCTTGTAGGTCTTGGGGGCAGCAATTAATGTGTATGCCAACAAACACAAGGAACGCCCTGATCGCCTCATTGACATGTTGACTAGCAACCACAGGTAAAGTAATTCTGACCCTTTCCCCATCACCAACTGAAATATGAATGCCCTATATACCAATGTGGATTTTGCAGGAAAGTGTTGGCCTGTGTTGTTTGTGGTCGCCTGAAAAGTGCTTTCCAGATTGCTTCTAAGAGTGGAAGTGTTGCTGATGTTCAATATGTTGCACATCAGGTCTTTCTTTTACCTGAACTTCAATTTCATATTTTGTTAAAAACATTTAGTTTGATGCATCTATACTGAGAGTCAGATAGTGCTTTTAAGTTCTCATTTCGTAACCTACATTGAATGCAGTGTGAAACTTGGCAGTCATTTTTGAGATTCTACCTCACAATAATTTATAACTTCCAAGGGTACATACTAGAAGCTAGAATATATATTATATATTGTATTGTTGTTTTGGATGTGCCAGTAAATGTATCCATGTCCCGGAAGGGTTCACAGTATAGTAGAGAGAGAGAGAGAGAGAGAGAGAGAGGTCCTTAATTTATGAGGAACGTTGCTTTTGCAGCCTTTGTTATTATACGAACTTGGAACTTTATTATGGATGGATATAGTCCTAAAGATGGTGCAAACTAATATATTTATCTTCTTGTGCAGGCATTGCATGCAAATGCACTTCCAGTTCTTGATATGTGCAAACAGTGGTTGGCTCAGTACATGTAGGTTATAGCTCGACGCGCTAAGAGTTATTTTGAGGTGAATATAGCTGCAGTATGCTATCATGATGCTTTGGCAAGCTTGGTTATCATTGGTTTCTGCTTTGTGATAT